AAGAGTCTCCCATGAAGAAAAGGTCAAACACAAAACTTCTATCTAACTTGTTCACCTCAATGACACCAGGTTGCTGGCATGGGAAGGGTAACCACGGTCTAGCAAGCCAGCTTACCTCACAACATTTTGGGGCTAAATGGCACCTCCAGACATCCTGATTCATTCATAGCATCAGTCTCCAAGGGCACATGCTAGCTGGAAAGTCTGCAGCATAACAGCCCACCGGGAAGACACACAGGACACAGTCCCCAACACTGCCCAATTGCCAACCTGCAGTCTCCCCCAGCCCTCAGTTCTCGCTGGCCTGAATGTACTCCTCCGACGTCTTCGACATCGCGCTAAGGTACTGCCAGCTCAGCGCTGCCAAAAGCATGGCGCAGGATAGGTAGATGGGGGAATAATGGTTACGGGACACAATGGTGCTGCTGGGCAAACTCATTGTCCGGACAGAGGCGATGATCTGCTGGGTCTTGTTAGAAGAAGGGTCTGTGCTTGGGATTTTCTGGTAGATCTGAAAAAGAAAGAACTCACCAGTGAGTAAGGAAACAGGAATGCTCCACACCGTGGCATAGCCCCTCAACCATGAAATCTTCACAAGGACCACGTCACCAGTGGGATGCCGAGTCTACTCAAACAGGACACTACTAAGCATTAATTGCAATATGGCTAGTTCAACAACTGCATTTGGATCACGGCCACCACATTAGCAGGTTTCTGGTCCTGCATTTCTCCTGCAAAGGAGAGGGAGCACTTTTCCCCTGAGAACTGTGTGATATATGATACTCACTTTAGAGCCTGGTCTGCAGCCAAGTCCAAGGCACACTTGTGCATCAAAATCCTGGCACCATTACAAAGACCATCGTTTGGGGCAAATGTTTATACTCTAGGGCCTTGCACAGGTTTTAAATGTAACATATCAGCAGCAATAGACCAGATGTCCAGTAAAATGGTTACTTCCCTGCTAACATCCTTTCAATTCCCTCTGCAGGCATGCCCTCAACATGCTGTAGCTCATCACCAGCCTTGGTACTGGGAGGTCAGGACAGCCTGGCACTAGTGAGAATCAGTGAAGCTACTAGGACATAACAGGTGGACTCAGATTTGAAACAGGTTCCTAAGCAAGGTGCAAAAGCCAGACATGTGGGTTAGTTCCCTGGCAGCAACTAGGGTTGAACAACTGAACTGCCTGCCTATTTTTGTAACCTCAAATCACCTCCTTTTGCCCACTGCTCTTTCTTTTATCATATCGAACTTCTTCAGCTCTGGAGGGGCTGCCAGCAATATTCCCTCTAAGGAGTAGCGGTCTGCGAGTGCGCTGCTTCAGTCCCGTCTCCCCTTTCGGCGCAGTCCACCAGTAAGTGTCCCACAGTAAGGTAAAATTGATGCTGTGGCCCAGCCATGGGCCGGACACAATCAATTGATAGAACCAAAAGGGCAGCATCGGGGCCAGCGTGGGATGCTTACCGAAGGTAAGCTTACTCCTCACATGGGGCAGGCAGCAGCTCCTCCCCGAGGTGAGGCAAGGCAGGGATGGGGGTTGGGGCTGGGGCCTGGTGCAGGCTCCGCCAGCTCTGGGGAACTGCTCCACTCTCCAGCCCCGATGCCATGTGCCTCCTCGCTCCTCGAGGCGATGCTGGGGTGCAGAGCAGTTCCCCCGAGGCCATGGAGCCCGTGCCAGCCCCAGCCCTTGTCCCCACCTTGGGTAGGAGCTGCTACCTGCCCTGTGTAAGGAGTGCCCTTTGGCAAGTGTCCCATTCTAGCTCCGGTGCCTCCGCTGCACTCCACGCCCAACTCCTCTCTGGGCGGGTGCGCAGCCTTAAAAAGTTGGTCTGCGGCAAGATTTTTACTTGTACGCAGTCACATGCGTGCGCAGCTTAGAAGGAACCTTGGCTGCCAGTCTGATTGTCAATGGTGAGGCATGTCACACTGGCTCCAGGTGCTCTGTACCACCTCCGAGTACTTCAGATGAGGGTTTTGTTTCTGTGCAGTACCCAGCACACACCTGGGACTGCTCCAGTTAGTGCAGCAGGGCCCATGTTGCAGAACTCTACTGTGAGAAGGGTGTTTCAGAACAGGCCAGCCAAGACAAAGCTTGTAAGTCTACTACTGGGGTAGCCTGTGTCCACCAAGGACACCTACCTTTTAGGAAGACATGAACTTACCAGCTAACTTAACCCAACAGAGAAATCCCTTATTAAGCTTATTAAGGGAAACAACACTGTACCCATGCCAACCAACCCATGGCTGTTAAACTGTGGGGGGGTTGGGTGGAAGATCAGTTAGGACATCTTTGGTTTGCATCTGGAGGCAAGCCCTGCTCTAAAACTTGTGCCAAAGACTGCCCCTGCTTGACTCAACCGTACAGGCATTTGGGCTGGAAGTCTAGGGCAGCTGGATGTGATGCTGACCATCAATCCCTCACATGTCGTTGACTTCAGAACAGCACTCTCACAATTCTCCTCCTATTGCAAGTGAGAGAGAGGAGAGAGCAGGGTGATCAGACAGCAGTTAGAAGGACACCTCAGCTATAGCTTTCACTTCTACAGGAGCCATACTTAAGTCCCTTCAAAATAGAAAAGCGGTTTTCGCATCGGGAAGTGCGGATGTTTCTGTTGAACAGACAGCAGATGAAGAGATGACTGTCTTAAGGAAAAAGTAGCATTCCAGGACTACTGTTTTAAGTTGCTGGCTGATGGTGTCCTATACTTTGGTGATGGCTTGAATTGAGCAATATTGGCAGACACAGGACAACTACTAAATGGCTGGAAGAGGTTGAAAGTGAAATCGCCAACTTAGCCCTAATGGGGTATCAAAATCGGCTGAAAAAAGAAAAAGGTCTGCATCTGAAAACAATGCATTCAGAGCAAGCCATCCCACTTACCTCTTCCACATATTGGTATATTATAGCTTTGACGGCCTGCACATTTGTGGCATCCATCATCATGGTAACAGCTTGTCCCTTCCGAATCTTCACGACACCCCTAAACACTTGTTTGTTGTTGTAACAAGCAGCCAGCGTGGCAATGGCCATCGCCTGTCGAGAAATAATAAACTCACATTTTGTAATAAAAAGGTATGCAGGGCAAAACCTTGGTCTCATCAAAATCAATGGCAAAACTACAATTGGCTTCAAAGGGAACAGTGATTTGTACAGTGTAAACACACGCCTGTTTAGAAGGAGGAATCGGGGAAATGATTTTTGAAGGATCAGTCCTCATAGCAGATGCGTGAAGCAGGACAAGGGTATTACAGAGAAGAGATACAACAGTTATCCTTGTCCTTGAAGTATGCACAATGTTCTTGGTTTGACAGGAAAAAAAAAACCCCTCAAGGAACAAGCATACCCACTTCAACCCATGAGCTTTGCACAGCTCCTGCTAAAGTTGGTTGGAGTAGCATGCATACAGAAGAGCCATTCATCAGAAGAATACCTGGTTTCTCAAGACAATAATTCAAATTCACCCACGATCACCACACCAAATCTCTCTCAGTTGGAAATGAAAGAAGGCACAGGGCATAAGGCACAGACCCCTATGTCTGTAAGTGAGGTTGTGGGAGTAGACAGGGGGAAAACCATGTGGTTCACAGGTGAACCTACCTGTGGAATAGCACAGAAGTTGAAGACACTTTGGTTTTTGAGTCTGGACAAGTACTTGAGGACATCAGGGACGTGGTGGAGAGCGTTTGTGATCAGCTCGTTCAGACACTGGACGGCCATGTCAGCGTTCTCTGGTTTGGCAAGATCCGAGAGCTTCTTGGCATACCTGCTCCAAACCTGGGGATATCAAACATACAGCAATGCCACCACTCACGTGCTTGCCATTGCACAGGTGTCCCTATGGGTTTTAACAACGTGCTTTGTTGGACTGAGGCTATAGCAGCCATCTCCCCATGGTATGAATAAAGCTATTGGGATGGGGATTTCCCCTTTGAATGATTCTCATTAGGTTACAGACACTGTAATAACCTGTGAACAATCTTGGGGCACTGAACGGAGCAAGACAATCTCTGTGGAGAACAAAGAGGATGCTTGTCTGCACAACATCCAGCGTCCTTGGAGATGTACAACTCATGCACATACCCCTGGTGAGTGGGGGCACACCCAGTGTGTAAGAGCGAGGTTCTCATCAGCAGCGATCAACGGACCACCGCCTGTGTCCTCTGCATCTAGCCCAGGATGATGGATGGAGCTGCCCCAACAACATCCCTGTTTCCTCCCTACACCACCCACCACACAAGGACTTGAAAGCAAGGAGAATGGAAGAATAGCATTTAATCTCACTGCACATGCACAAAGGATCAGACCGCTTGCTATAATAATGGCTTGTGTACATTGCATAGTAGTGCCGTGTCCTCTCACAGTTCTAGATGAAGTACTTTATTGCCAGCCTTGGCCATTTTCCAGAGGCCTGGATCAAGCTGCTGAAGTCCCAAAGCCTGTTTCTGAGGAATCATAGAATGACCCTTTGCAGATGTGACAATTAGCTTAGTCTATGTAAAGGAAGTTATCAACATGTCTAACTGAATGAGATGAAATTAAAAACAGAGCACAAAGCCTGAACAGAGACACAATAAAGGGAAGGCCATACACTAAATAATCCAAATACAGTATATCATAGCTTTCACTTATAATAACTGATGTAACCAAATTTATTAGGTGCTGTTTTGCTATAATAGATACAATTTGTGTTAAGTTTTTGGAAGTTGTCAAATTTTATTTATTTATTTATTTTTTAAATAGCAGTTTTGTTTATGGACAACCATAAATTTTGTGGAAGAGAAAAATCAGGAGGGCAAGCAGTATTCCATAATGCTGAAGGAAGGAGGTAAGAATCCTTCTCTCCAAATGTGCGATTTTGACAGAAACATAAATCCAAACTGACTGACACCTTTCATGTCCACAGGAAAACTGATTCAGTCCAGTTCCAAAAGTTTCAGCAAAACAAATGATAATAAAAACAGTAAGAAGCCATTCATTTGAACGTTAGACTCAGCCATCTATGTGGCTGGAGGGGTCCTGGGATACAGGCTGGAGGGAAATTTAGAGAACTCAACAAATTCAAGACCTGTTTCCCCAATCTGAATGACACCCTCCGCCCACCTCTTAAATCTCCAGCTGGCTTAAGTGAGAATCCATGTTGTGCTGTCACAGGCAGCCAGACTTTGGGATAAAGGCCTGTTTTTGTGTTCTGAAGTGCAAGCAAATAAAAGGTTGGGCTGTAGAACTGTTTCTGCCTCTTATCATTAGCCAGCCTGCAAGATCAGCTGTAATATGGATAACAAATTGCTTGAAAAAGAAAAAGCCATCATTGTGGAGGAAGATGAAAGTGGCATGTAGCCACAGGATGCAAAGGAGCATTCATACATTTGGACCACAACACAGCTCAATCCCACAGAAAGATCGAGTCCCGACTTGGGCCTTGGAGATGACTTGCAAAAATCTTAACCACTGGGTAACAAGGATCTCGGCAATCCCCAAATTGGCAGGTTGGGCCTTGGAGATGACTTGCAAAAATCTTAGCCACTGGGTAACAAGGATCTCAGCAATCCCCAAATTGGCAGCTGCGTGGCTGACATTGCAGTTAAGCATGATCACAACAAATTTACGGCTAACCTGGTCTGCTTAAGATACAGCCAGTAGCCTTATTTGAAGATCAACAGAAGAGCATGCTCAACCACAATGCATCTGCTCCAGATCCCAGTCATAACACTGTATGCGCCAGGAAAAGGAATTTCATGATTTATTGTGAAGTTTCACAGATTTCCTACCACGAGTGAGCCCATCTCACTCTCCCACATCTCAAGAAAACTAAGGTTAGACAACAAAGCCGACATCACTGGGACCAGGAAACATCCTACCTACCTTATGAACACCCCTGCTCCTGTAGCAGGCTACTGTTTCTTCTAATATTTACCTGCACTGCTTTATGCAGAGCAGACCACAGTCTCTGAACTGTCAGACTCTCCTTTTCAGATGAGTTGCCTCATCGAAACAATACACTGGAAATGCCCATCTGTGAAGTGGTGGTTTCCTTTACCTCTCTGGGCCAGAATTCCCTTCCCTCCAGCTGGTCCTGCAAATAATCACGAATGATGTTGGTTTTCTGCAGGAAAAGCCCCATGGAATTTGCAAGCTCCACGTCCTGTCCTACGATAGGGTCTTCAAGCTCCGAAGCAGAGAAGAGACGGGAAAGACCAATCCCTACCAGTCCGGCAACATAGTGGCAATACTGCAAAATTTGGGGAGGGAAAAAAAAGAGTTCTGAGAAATGTATCTTCAAGAGTTCCTGAGGTTTCAAGAAAATTAGCAGTTACTCAACCGGCTTATTCTGGGCAGCTCTGTGGGACTTTCCTCAGAATAATTCCCCTGTTTGCCCATCAAACCTGGCTGGACCAATGCCACTGACACTTAGGTACCATTCCTGACCCCAGAGCACCAGGCAACAAGTACACCCTGGCACAGCTGCCTTTGCTGAACAGAAAACAACCTCCCATCATGAATGTGCTTGTGCAGGAGGCCAGGCAAGGCCTCTAGCTGGGGCTGTGCACATTGCCCCGAGCTGGTTCCTTCACCGCTCAGACATCCCTACCTTGTCCCAGTCCTGCACGGAGTTGACCTTCTTTTCCAAGTACTCCGCCATTCCCACTCCCATCTTACGACAAACATCAGTGATCACATCCTGATACACCTCGGCCAGGTTCCTGAACTCCAAGGAAATCTACAGCAGAAACCACACGGAGATATGCAGTGCCAAAGCAAAGCTGGGTCTGGCATTCATAAACAGATTAGGAACAAGCAACACAGGGACTGTTTAGTAGGTTCTTCTCCTGCTCTCGCTGTTGACTAAACTCCGATTGACTGAAGATGGTGCAGGACCAAGGCCTTGTGTGCAGTGAACACATGCTCAACAGCTCCCCTGGCCTTTGACCATCGCTCAGATGCTGCGCGTATCTTCCTGATGGCATGTGACTTGGGCCTGTTTCACTTGGGAGTCCACAAATGCAGAAGGTACAGAATAAAACTGTAGGGCACCACATGCAACTTATGGGAAAGCCCTGCCAGATGCTGCTTCACCAAGCAGTCAAGAACAGACTCCCAGTGTTTGACTCCCTACCATCTAGCACTCTCTCAAGATCATGCTCTCTCCAGACTTTAGTATGTGCCAGTTGCAGTGGGCCTTTTCTTCATGAAAAGCAGCAGTCACTGCACCAGGACCCAGGAGACTGCAGCTCTATTCTCAGCTCTACCCAGCTGGCTGGGTGACACCGGGCAAGTCACTGCCACTCTGTGCTACAGTTTCTTCTTATATGAGATAGTGACAGTGATAACTACTTTCTTTGTACGCACCCCAATTTTCCTTTAAAAAAAAAAAAAAAAAAAATCTACTGATGAAGTATGCTGTATGTAGATACTGTTGTTTGACAGTTTCTGGTAGATACTACTCTTTAAGAGTTTCTAGGCATAGGCAAATTAATGAATGGGCAAGCTGGCCATGAGCCCAGGGGCCCCAGCCCCAGGATCCTCATCAGCAGGGAAGTGAAAGCCACAGTTTTAATTAAACTCGGCACCCATTTTTGGCACCAAGTTTAGAACTGCAGCTTTCACCTTGGCTTCCCTGGGAGCTGGAAGTGGGGCTCCTCCACGAATGAGGTGGACTCGGAACAGGCTGGGGTCCAGCTACAGAGCTGTGCTGTGCCTTTGTGGGCGGCAGTGCTGGGAGGGCCTTGGGGGCTATAGCCCCCCCAAATTCATCTTAGCCCCCCACAGCCACCCCTCCCAGTGCCACCACCTGCCTGAAGAGATGTGGCGCAGCACTCCCGGCCCGACCCCTCCCAGTGCCACCACCTGCCTGAAGAGGAGATGTGGCGCAGCACTCCCGGCCCAGCCCAGCTGCCCCTCTGCATCTGCAGGGCTGCATGGGACAGCCAGGCAGCAGCTCCCTGTAGGTAAGTGTAACAGGGGCCAGGCAGGGAGCTGTGGGTGGCTGGGGGGCTGCCTCCGTGTGATCCAGAGTGATGGAGGGGGGAGGTCCTGTGAAGGGAAAGTGCATGCCTGTCCATCTGTACACGCGCATGTGTCTATCTGCCTCTGTGTGTCCATGTGTAGAGTGAAAGCAGAGTGTACGCGCATGTTGGACTATAGCTGGGGCAGGGAGCAGAGAGAAGGTGCCCCCCAGCCCAGTGGGATCCACCCAGCCTCCCCTGCCAGCACTAGGAGGGAAAGGGGCCTCTGTCCCCACTCCTGAAGCCCAGCTCCCACCGGGAGAGGGGGGCCTCCAATTTTGTGCTTGCCCAGGGCCCCAGTATATATGAATCCATCTCTGTTTCTAGAAGATCTGTATCAAAATGGCATTGTATTCTGCAATAAAGTTTTGAACATAGCATCTGCATTGCAAAATGGCATCTGTATCAAAATTGCAATGAGGTTTTGAACATGTACTGGAGTCCCTAAAGAGCCAGAGGGTGTAACTAGCCAGAATATTTCAGAGAATAGCATCCCCTTCAGTACCTTTTTCAAAGACTAGACCTACTAAATTATTAACATGTTTGCCCACCTCTATTGTAGTGACATTCCTGAATCTGAATGCCAAGACCTTTTCTTGAAAGCAAGGCCATCGACACCTATTCTTGGTAGGTGGTTCATGGCTACCAATGAATATCTGGAATTTCAGGGAGGCCTGTGGAACCCAAATTCCATGGACTATGAGGTTACTTTGAAAATCCCAGCCTCAATATCAAGTTACCATGGGCTGGGCAACAGAAATGATCCCACGCTCCCTTATAAAAATACCAAGCCCAAGACTGCAGTGGAAGTCAAATGCAAGCCTTGCACTGTATGAAGAAAATTTCCATGCGCATTCTCAGCTGCTTCATCACTTGCAAATACTGGGAAGGAGGTGGGGGCTAATTTTAAGGGACAGTAACTATTATGGAGCCTGCCCCAAGGTTTATTGACTGATCACACAGATCCTTCCATTCCCTTGTTTATCTAATAATTCACAATTATGGACCAGGAATTCTGTGCACATTTGGAAAGTTGTAATTGAGGAAACTTGTGCTACTGCTCCACGTGGTTTTATGCACGCCCTCCCACCCAACATCTTAATGCCTCAGCAGAACAGCTTCTGGGTACCAGGCAATGCAAGAGTGGACTTGGGTTGTGGCAAGCCTGCTTAAAGCAGGGTGTCAGAATGGTGAGAGGTGCGAGCTTCTGTTCTTTCAAGTACAGCCCAGCACGTCTAAGCTGGGAAGCACCTGGGACAATTCAGAAATATGCAAACAGAGCTGTCTTCTGCATCCCTCACCCATATTTTGTTCAAACAGCAAACCCAGTAACACTTAAGCGGGGACTGCCAATGACAAAGTCCTCAGCAGTTGACATGTAACCATCACACCAGGGGTGCTATGCTCTGGCTCAGGCCAAAACCATTTTTAGTGCTCATCAAGTCAGTACAAACAGTGACCATATAGCTCAGGAGGGGCAGACGATTTACCCACAGTGGGACTCAGGACTAGATCAGGCTGGGTCTGATCCTGTTGGATCAAGATGCAAGAAGGCCTGATAAGGGTACCTATAAGAGTTAACTCACAAGCTAATGTGGTGAGGGTGGAAGTGAGGGCTGAGGGCTTACCGTGGGGAAGTCCTCCAGTACTTGCTTGTCCTTCTCCTTGCTTTCGGTGTACCTCCACTCTGGCTGATACAGGTAGGAGTGGAACTCGTGCAGCATTGGGACTTTAGTTTCTAAACTGATGGTCATGTCATCTTCTATGGTGTCCAGGGCTCGGAGAACCAAATAGAATATGCAAACGGCATGACTGCAGGGGAAGGAGAAGTGTAACACATGACTCAAATGTTCCCTACTAGACAGGCAAGCAGCTAAAGATTATCCTGTGGCTATGGCAACAAATAAGAGACTGTCAGCTCTGCACATCGTTTCCACACTTTCGGGGAAAGAATGCATGAAGAAAGACAGGCTCAAATCATAACATTCAGACCTTTATTTCTAACACGTTGAGTCTTCAGGAATGATCACATGCAAAACTTTCTTTCAGATCCCTCCATAGCAGAAAGGGATCCACAAATGAAATTCTGAGGCCAAATGTAATCACTTGCAATCACCCATCTGTCTTTAACTATACATCCACCCAGTGGTAACCCTTACAATACTGGTATCTCTTGAGATAATGCCATGGCAGTCATTATAGACATATGCATGGAAGTACAGTATACTCTACATAAGACTCAAGGCTAAAAAAAAAAAAGGCTACATACTTAACCTGGAGTTCAAATTTTACATCAGCAGACATGGTATGTGCTCAGCTGTGTGTACCTGGTTATGCCCTAGTGCAGAGCAACTACCTTGCCCTTCATTAGACAGGAAGATTCAATGTATTCAGTCAAACAGCTGTCTATTAGCAGCTAGCTAGCTACTGAAATCCTTGTCTGTGCACCACTAATTTTGCAGCTCTTGCTTGGAAATGGAGAGGTGCCTATCAGTTTCCCCAATTATTAGGCAGTTCAGTGGAGTACAAGTAGATGGCTTCCCTGGGACACATCTTTACCGTGTAGGACAAGATGCAATTTTGTACTACCAAATTCCATACAGCATCTGCTGCTCCAATATTTGAAGTTATTCAGTTCCTTCTGCAGGACGTGCTCATCCTAGCTTGTGCCATTGGTAACTTTTCTTAGCATCCCCCTGTATTTTGCCCCAGGTCATTAAAGAAAGTATTACACAGGAGCCTGATACGTTACTAATGCAATCTCCTTCTACCCTTCCCAACACAACCTGATGCCATCTTTTGCACACATATCTACCAGCCTTGCTCTAATCCCCAGCTTTTCCAGTTACACTGATCATTTCTAATCTGGCACCATATCAAATGCTTTACTGAAGTCTTAGTGTTATTGCTGCAGCCCAGATCAAATACTTAAGTCCAGACAAATTACATGACATTCTGCATGTAACTAGAACTTTTACAATCTCTGCTCTCTCCTATGCCTGATGAAGGGTGTGCGTGCACAAGAGCTTGCAAATAATAAAATAATTTGTTTACAAATATCTAGTTGGCTTAATAAAAGATACCACCTCTTCCATGACTTCCAAATTCCTTATGACATTCTGCGAGCATTTCCTTTTTTAGGGCTGACAAATTCACTCCAAGTTTGTCAAACGCTAATAACAACTTTAAGTGCCTTTAACCTTTATGTCAAGAAGTGACTTATAAACTTGCACTTGAAATCTTAGCTCCAATGGGCAGATGCCAGGGACACTTGCAATGTTCAAGTTCCAGTGTGCGTTGTTGGCCACTGCCTCTTTTCAACACAGGTTTTAATACATTTACCAGTAAAACTAAGGTATCATTAACACAATGACATGCAATGCAGATGCAGACGTCTGATGGCAGCCCAAAGTCCTGCTGTATTGACATAGCCACACTGCTACCAAATCTGGGGAGACTCAGCCAGGGTGGCAATAAAACTGAAGTCACCCAAACTCAACAGCATTAGGACCCAGGGGCTGTAACCACTGTAAAAGCTTGATGGCAGGGAAAAGCTGCTGCAGATAAAGGAAAGTGGGAAAAAACAGGAACTGCTGTGTGGACACCCCTCCAGTTCCCCTCCGACACTGCCTTGCAGCTCATTTCTAAGGGGCACTAAAACTAAAACCAGAAAGAAGAGGCATTTAGTGAGATTAAGAGCGCCTCCAAGGGGAAGCTCCTGTGCTTTAAATTCACGGCCCAATTCACTTCTGCAAGAGCTTCCCTAGGACAAAACACCCGCCTGGAGGGAAGGGAGGGGAAGCTGCGATGCCTCCCTCTGCAGCAGCTCCTGCCATTCTGTAAGCACCAAAAGGGACCAAGACAAGAACAGGACTGGGGGCCCAGAGCCGGGATGAGGACCATGAGCTGGGGTCCTGCTGCTCAGATCCAGGCATTCGCTGATCCACCCGCTTCCAGTCACTGCCCTAAAACTCAGAATCCCATTTCAAAAGCAATGATAGGTTGTCTGCAGATTCTGAATCCTGCCTCTATGCCGGCCCTATGTGGGGTTTCAGGCATATCACCAGCTCTCTGAGCCCAGGCCAGGCCTGCCTTCCCTCTACACCAAAACCTCAAAATCCCAGAAACAACAATAGCTAATTGGGAAAGCAAGAGATACTGGTTCCAGCCCTGAGATTATAAATATAATCCGCCAAGTATGATATAATAAGGATAATGCCCGCTACAAAGGGAGGCTGCAAGAATTAATTAGCTATACCTTGTGTCTCACATTAGGAATTAAGCATTAAATGAAGACAGAGCATGAGTCAGCTGAGATCATAATAAGCAATTAAGGATTATAAAATAATAGGAAAGTGGCTGGATCATAGCTTTTCACTGCTAAAATTTGCATTAAATGAAGACAGAGCATGAGTCAGCTGAGATCATAATAAGCAATTAAGGATTATAAAATAATAGGCTGGATCATAGCTTTTCACTACTAAAATTTAAACCTCTGGTTGTTTTATTGGGTTGGGGGGGGGGGTTGTAGAGCTAGAACAATTATACATGGGGCATCAGCTGAACTCTGCCCTTAACACGCACGTGTGTAAGTCTGTGCAGCACTGCAGAAAATGCCGGCCCTAAACTACTACTAAGAAAAAAGGGACGCAGAAGTATCACCTGTGCAAATCCTTAATTCTGAAATTTGGGTATTTGTGACTCACGTGCTCCGACAGGGATGCTCCTGCCTCAGGCAGGGGGCCGGACTAGTCCCTTCCAGCCCGACTTCTCTGCCTTGCTGCTGACCCGGGGCTGTTCAGTGGCTATCAAACCCTGAAGGCGCCTCAGCTCCCCAGGCCCTCCCTTATCTGTTCAGATTGAGCGTCAGGCAGTCCTGCTTCTCTGCACGTCCCAAGCAGCTCCTGCTTTCCACCCTGAACCGTGTCACGGTGTTTCTATGCCCTGCAGCCCAGCTACTCTGCTCGCTGGCAGGAAAAGCAAATCCGTGAGCATCCCCCACCCACAACAAACACCTTTTCAAGGGATTCAAGCCCAAAAGGGAAAAGGCCCGGTTGCGCCGAGCACCGAACACTCGCACACAGCGACCCAAAACACCCTTAATACAGGATGAGCTGCAACAGGTGGGTTTGCAGGTGACAAAGTGGGAACGAGAGCAGAAAGCAGCAGCAACGGGAGCACGAGGTCGAGCCACCAACCGGAGCTCAACCCTGGCACGTTTCAAGGAGCCTTTTTTTAAGCCCACACGGGAGAGATCAGCGAAGAAAGCGGAGATCAAGGTCCACGAAGCACACGAGGGAGGCCAGGAGGGTGGTGTACAGGATACGACATTTGCTCGGGGCGGGAAATCGGGGTCGTTTCTCGGCGCCTCCGTGGAAAGCGCGTTTTCGTGGCTTTCCTAAGCCGCCGCGCGCGTGGCAGGGCCGGGAGACGCAGAAGCAGCCCATCTTGGATTTGGGAGTGCAAAAGCGGGTGCGTAAAGGCTGCTTACGAAGGCCCCAAAATCAGATCGGCGGGTGGGACAACACCACGCAGCTGGGCGCCGACGGGGGTGGCGTCTCCAGACCCAAGGAGGGGATCGGCTTACACGGGAGGAGGCGCATCCAAATACAGGGCCAAGCCTTACACGGCGGGCGGCAGAGGCAGGGGGGGGGAGGAGGCCGCGCAGCTCCAAGTAAACACGCAGCCCCCACCCGGGGGGCCTCGGCTCTCACCGCAGCGCACCACCCAGCGCACCGCTGGCCACAGC